AAAAGTAAACAAAAGTTACTATGTTTTCTACTTCCAGAATTTCCATTTGATTCTTTCTTCCAGTTCCCATTTTCTGTTGAGATTGCCCATCTGATCAGGAAGGTTGCTTCATAATACTATATTGTTGAAAGAAGAAAATCTATTATAAGACTGCAGAGACTGAGCTAGGTTGTTTGCATGCCTGGAAATGGTTACCCTTTTTTTTCTGCTGGGCCGTTAGTGTGGGAGACCGATCCAGCCTCGTCAGGAACTGAGCCGTGTTTGGGTTTTGTTCTTATTCTATTACTGTCGGTGCACTATAGACTCCAGCTCTCTCTAACATTGCCTTGTATTTACATTTGAGGCTAGTTTGCCAGAGGTTTTCTCAGTGTCTGTTCTACTCTTGGTTTACATGTTCTCCTTGGCCTGTTGAAATGTCTTTATGTTCTTCATGACCATTCAGCAGTAGATTGCTGTTTTTATTTATTGCTTATTAGCCTGGCTGGTAGTGGTGATGGTTGTGGTAAAGGGGGTGTTCTCTGCTTTTCTGATTCATTATTAGTTTTAGACCAACACTGTGACCTTGGGTCTCAGGAGTAGAGCCTTTCCATGATCCTACCCCACCGTCAGATGGAAGACTTCTAATTGTCTGGGGCTTACAAGGATAGAAGTGTTTTGTTGTTGTTATTGGGTTTTTTTCCCTTTCTCTGACTGCAATGGGTCTTCACCAATTCATAATTTAATGTCTCATGTTAGGATTTACTGACCTTTAACTCAGCAACTTAAGGATTTGTTCCCACAGGGAAGATAGGGAGAGGATCAGAGAAGGGCTTGGTGTTTTTCTCCAAGCCTATTCCACAAGGGAGACAGACTTCTCAAGATTCACCCACTGCTCACAGTACTTCTTATGAACATACAGTAGAGCATTAAAGTCTGTGGAAAAGAGCCTGGAAGTGAGTCTGAATTCCCCGTGGAGTATTGGGTCCCAATTTTCTGTACTCTCATGCTGGCCTATACTTGGTCTTTAGCAATTCATTAAAACTGTTACCTATTTTATCAATAAGTAGAAGACAGGAATGCAGAGTCTCCAAAGACAAAATAATGATAAGGAGATGCAAACATTAAGTACTTGATTTGATCAGCACATGTGCACATGTCTTGAAATAGTCAACTGGACCCCATAAATATGTAATTAAATTTCTTTTAATTTTTTAGTTATAGATGGACACAATATCTTTATTTTACCTATTTTTTGTCTGTTTGTTTGGAGTACCAGGGATTTAAATCCAGGGCCCTCAACCACTGAATCACATCCCCAGCCCCATTTTCTATTTTATTTAGAGACAGGGTTTCACTGAGTTGTTCAGCACCTCGCCATTGCTGAGGCTGGCTTTGAACTTGCAATCTTCCTGCCTCAGCCTCCTGAGCTGCTGGGATTAAAGGCATGCACCACTGCGCCTGGCTTATTTGTTTATTTTTATTTGGTGCTGAAGATCAAACCCAGTACCTCACACATGTTAGGCAAGCACTCTACCACTGAGCCACAATTGCAGCCCCAATAAAAAATTTTAAAATACTTTAGCTGAATTCTTACCAGCTTGATGGTGGTAGGAAGAGAGTCATCCCCAAATAAGCAAATGCACCTGTACCATGTTTTCCTTGGAAGAATCTGTCTTGGATTAAGTTTAACTTAAGAAAAATTGTAAATTTGCAGTATGTCCTGTGTTTTTTTGTGTTGTTGTTAGAAGAGTGAAAACAATGCTATTTCCAGACTTCTTTTGTCCTAAGGGAAATCCAGAAGCTTCTGAGAAACTCTGTTTGGTAGATAAATTTCTGTCTCATTTTTTAAAAAAAATATCTTTATTTTATTTGTTTATTTATTTAAATATTTTTTATGTGGTGCTGAGGATCGAACCCAGGGCCTTGCACGTACTGGGCGAGTGCTCTACCGCTGAGCCCCAGCCCCAGCCCCTGTTCCATGTTTTTGAACACAATTTTTTTTTTTAGTATTTATTTTTTAGTTTTAGGTGGACACAATATCTTTATTTTACATTTATGTGGTGCTGAGAATTGAACCCAGTGCCTCACGCATGCTAGGCGAGCACACCACCACTTGAGCCACATCCCCAGCCCCTTGAACACAATTCTTAACCAATACATCTAACAACTTCACTCATGACTCAAAAATAAAGTTTAAATGGGCAAAGGTATAAACATTTAAAAATTAAACTATGAGTATATAAAGAATTAGAACTTTTTTTATAACTTCAGAGAAGGAAAAAAAATCTTTCTAAGTATGACTTGAAACACAGAAAACTAACAAATTAAACTACATAAAATGCAAAATTTTCTGCATTACAAAAACTCATCATAAAGGTTGGGAATATGGCTCAGTTGGTAAAGTGCTTGTCTCACATGCACAAGGCCCTGGGTTCAATCCCCAGCACCACCAAAACAAAAGCAAAACAAAAAAAAACAAAAATAAGAACTCATCATATACATCAAAAGACAAACTGAGGACAAAAAATGTAATACATAAAGAGCTAGTTTTCTTAATATTGAAAAGCATTTATAAATCAATGTGATTTTTTCCCAATAATAAATCTTTTGTCTAATACCTGTGGGCAAAGGATAGGAACAGATATTTCACAGAAAAGAAAATAAATACACTAAAAGGTGATGTGCCTACCTCAAAACAAATTTATAAATGTATAAAATACAATTTTTTACTTCTAAATTGACAAAGATAAAAAATTTTGGTAATATTTAGTGGACAAGTATGGTACAAGAGCCATCTCTATACAATTTTTGGTGAGAGTGAAAATTTGTACAACTGGTGGACAATAGGCAATATCAACATTGAAAATACACACACCCTTTGATCTGTCAGTTCAACCCTTAGGAATTTCTCTTACATCTGTACTCATTGCTGTGACAAGACTTCTTCTACACATGAGGTTCGTGTCAGCATTATTTTGTTGAACAAAAGATTTCAAGTAATGAAATATCCAAGAACACAAAATTGAAGATAAATTGTGTTTTGTTCCACCAAAGAACACTATGTAGGCAGTAAAGAAAATTTAAAAAGAAAATGTGTTCATGTTGCTAAACAAAAAAAGGGAAAAACAATGTCTATGGTATGTTTCCAGGTATGAAGAAAAATATATCAATTTACTCATGCTTCCTAGGCTAAATTAATTCTGGAATTTTTACTGTGTATGTGTATGCCTACTTTAAAAAAATTGATCTTAGTGACTGCATAAAATAAATGTCTAGGCCCTCCTTCAAAAGGCCTCATTCCTGCTCTTTCAGTCTTTCCTCACATTTGTTCTCCCATGTACATAGCTGCACCTCTTCTAGAGACAGACTGCATTTATTACCTCCAAATGAACTCTATGGATCATTCCTTAGTTTCTACATTTGTTGGTAAGTTTCTCTCCCACCATAAACAGTCATTTACTCCACAATTTGCACTTTTAAACCCAACTCCAACTACCCAATAGCTCTCTCTAAAGACCATGATCATTATTATGATTTTCCAGTGACCCAACAGCCTATTGCAATGGATCGTGATTATTGTTAGGATTTCTGTCTTCCAAAATATGATGTTTGTGACTAGAGCCCCACAAATGAGTTTAAATCTACTTATCCTAAAATAATTGTTGACTCTTGCTTTATATGAATTAATCATATTTTTGAAAATGTATGTGTGAGTCTCTTGAGACCAGGCAGGGAGAACACAACTACACAACTACACAACTCAAATGTCTTTGTACCCTTGACACTGCCCAACGTAGGGTTGAACATTACTGAAAGCTCACCATGCGTGCTGGGTGAGCTGGATGCTGTGGGGAAAGACAAAAAAAAAAAAAAAACAAATTAGCTTCTCCAAAGATTTTGAGCCTAAGGATTTCCTGGCTTGGATCACTGTCATTAAGGCAAACCTCTCAATAAAATTCAGAAGTGCTGGGTTATTAGAGGCATATTACACTATCCACAGAGGCCAAAAAGGTAATACAAATGTCTAAATAAATAGGGCATAGGAGTGATAGGACCTGGGTCTGAATGGAAGACACTTGTCCTCCCTTAAAGATTCCAAAATCAGTTATGGACTCCAGGCAAACAATACATTCAACCATGATCAGCAAGCAGGTTGTGACACATAGATGGAAGTGACCATTAACCCATCCATCTCTGCAGGCTTTCATCTCCCTGAGCAGGGAGGATGCTATAACCTGGGCAAAAACAGCTCTAGAACACCCAGCCATGGACAGAGTTCCAGAAGCAAGCCACATTAATGTGTCTGCATGGAAGGCGATGTTTACAATCCCCCCACCCTACACACACAAACACACACACACACACACACACACACACACACACCCAAGGGCCTCCCTTCCTTCCTCCCACAATGTCATTTAAAGATACAGCCAACCCTGCCTTTCATCAGCCATGGTCTCCTCTCCTTGCATTTCTGATTTCTTGTCACCCATTGCCAGAAATATCAAAGCTCTCCATTTGCAAGCCATAACCACTCGCTCACCTCCCTAAACTACTGTGCACTTCTCAGTTATATTTCCAGGCAAGTGGGGAGTTGGTGAAGTTCCTCCATCCCAGCCACTCTTCCTCCACTCTTCCTTCCCTCCCCTGTGTCACAAAAGCACTCAGTTTTCTGAGGACAGGTGACCAAACAGTTGTTGTAAAAGGAGTGAGCCGAGCCAGCAGCCTGGTGTGGGAAATGGAGAATGAAGAGAAAGTGGGAAATAGACATGTGCGTGTGGCACCTCTAGACGCAGGCTCTGCAACCTTCACAGAGGAGCAGACACCTTCTCCTACAGACTGAACCACCACATGAGCCTCCCTTGTGAAACAGGAGGGCTTTGTGATGCAGTCTGCAGCTTGTTCTGTCCTCTGTGAGGTGGACATGACAAGGGTGAAGCACTGGGAGTCATTTGGCACTAAGCCCCTGAATGCCTAGTTGTGGAGATGGTTGGTCTCCTTATGCTAATGAAGTTTAGGCCATGTTGAGCCTTATATCTGTTCTGTGGGACACTGGATATCCCTTATATACCTATGGTTCTCTTTTCATCCTTATCCTAATTATCTGGCAAATTAGACAAAGTTACTATGGATTGAAGAGCAAACCTACAAGGAGCTGCTGCCGGGTAGGGAAACACTGTCACCACAATTGAGCTAGTTTAAGCCTCAGATAAGCTTTCAAGTTTTCAGTGTTTCTCCATATTAAATCTCCCCCCACCCCATTTTTATACCATACTTTCAGTTACCTTTGTATATTGCTTTTGTTTGGAGAACCTATTTAATTCCTCACCAGCTCTCCCTCCAATGCAATGAAAAGCCTCAAGACCCTCCCTATTTGGCTTGAGCTGAGAAATAGATGCTATAAAGTCTACCCCACTATATCTCAAGACTTCCCAATATGGGGGATTTTTCTGATTGATGAGTTTTGTAAAGCAGAAGTCCTTGGGTCATTAGAAATGCTCACCCTTTAATCTATTCCACTTTTCTTCTTGTGTCATCCCAAACTCTCTGTAGAACTTGTCATGAGGACAGGAGGATGAAGAATGCAGAATCTTGAAGTGAATCAGAAGGGTGAAGCAGAAAAGGGAAATGTTGGGGTGGAAAAAGGTGGAATATGGTAAAGGAAATGTAGGAGAGTGTATAAAATGCGATAGCTATGGAGAAAGAGAATGGGAAATATGAGTTTTTGTCTCATTTTGGACATGAAAAAGAAAATGGCATCCTAGTCTCACATTCTCATGTTTTTTTGTCTTCAAGCATCATTGAAAAGTCAGGCAAAGGAAAAAAGATGCAGCGTCAAGAGGTAAAGTCCCAAACTCTCATTTGACTCCCACTGTGGGCTAGCTTCCTATATAGTATCTGTCGCTCTACCCCTGGTACCAGGATCCAGGTGTTCTAATCTCTGAAGGCTCCAATTTCCCCCAAATTGATGACTTTCACAGAGGACTTCCATGGGTGGGAAATCTGAACATGGGAATGTTCCAAAATTCACTACCTTATGACCCTGAGAAAAATCATTGAAGAAGTAAGGCAGATGTCCTTAACTGTCATTTATTAGTTTTATGACCTTATAGGAACCGTTTCATCTCTCAGTCTTATCCATTAAATAGGCTGATGATCCCCTCTCACTCACATTGTGATTGTGAATATCATATGACATTAGGTAAGGGATATCATGTTGTAAATGGTGATTCTGTACATAAACATATCTTGGAGCACTGACCTTGAGTTTTTAGTTTCCTCTTGCTGAGTCAAAGGTCTTAAAATTGAGCTTCCTATAGGAGGCCCCTGAAACAATCCTATACCATATAACACTGTGTCCTGGTTCCTCAGTTAGGAGACCTTCCCAAGAGGAAGCTGAGGAGCTTCAGGAGCTGCTCTCTTTCATGAAAAGGTGATCTCTTGCTCTTTGCAGTCTTTCAACTCCCCATCTGCCCTATGAGTTCTTAGCTAGGCCTGGGGCAGGGATGAGGAGAGGGATAATGGCTGGTTAGGAGACATGCATGGTTGGGACTAGTTTATTGGTTGAGAAAGTTGCTATGGCAGTAAGGAGTCCAGGTATCTCAGGAGGGAAGAGGCAGTCACCTAATTCTTCTCTGTGCTAGGTTCACAGCATGTCTTACTCTCTTACATTTATACCCTTTCAAGGGCGACTCCTGGGTCTTGCTGGACTCTGCTGACATTACCTCCTCTGGTCTGTCTTCAGGGAAGACAGTTCCTGGGATCCCTCATACAGGAGCCTATCATCTTATTTTCTCCTTAAAATTTCAAGAGAATAATATCCAAAGATGCTGGGTATAGCAGCAGGGTATAGCATCCCATAGTTCTCAGAATGACGAGTTCCCATAAGGACCTCATTTTCCACAGTATAGTCCCAGCTCTTGTAGGACTCAGGGATGGGGTAGCAATCCCCAGCCACACTCTTGCAAAGAGGCAGATGTCACTCCATCCTTAACGGTTGCCATGTTTTCCTTCCCAGCCAGGGATGGCTTCCTCAGAAGGAAAGTGTGCGGCAGCTTCTATGTGCAGATCCCTACTGCCAAACCTGCAATGGTGTGGCTCTGGAGATTGACCAATTGCTGGAGGGTGAGAATAACCAGATCCCCTCTACTTTACTGGGATCATCATGGGGCTCTTCTTGCCTAGAGACGTTGTCCATGTCAAGTATGTCTTTTGAGCAGAATCTGGAGCTCCATTCCCAGCACTCCAGAGATTCTTCAGTGGCATCTGTAACTCCAACACTAAGCCAACTAATAGAACACAAATGCTTAACCCAGACAGTTTCCCAGAAAAATGATGGAATCAGAATCCAAGAATACTGGGCCGATCACCTCAAGTTAGAGCAGGAATTTCAACTGGCAGATAGGCCAGTGGGCCCAGAGACTATGGCTTCTTCAAGGCTTGAGGAATCTATAGTTACAGTGAATGAGCAGGAGATTATGCAGAACAACACTTACCTTGACCAGGAGGACCAAGTTCATCACCACTTGAAGCCCAAGGTTTCTTTAGTATCACCAAATTCAGGGATCACTAACCTGGCCCATCCTATGGTCTTAGAAATGGAGTCAGTTCTCCCCGCTCACCTGCCTTTACTCAATCCTAAAACTCTGAGGTTTCTTGAGGTACATGTAAAAAAATGGATGCATTTCCAGAGGTGGGGGCTCCCCAGGCGTGTCGAAGACTCCCTCAGGCAGCTTATGCCAGACCCAACATTGTTTTACCGATCTGAAAAAAACCCACAGGTTTCTTCCATGACTTCTCAGGTTATTATTGACAAAATTAAAACCATTTCCCACCAGACATGGGGTTCATTTGTGGCAGGACAGCCCATTCAGTCTATCTGGGTTTCGGAATGGTCTGATGTAAATCCAGAACAAAGACGCCACTGTCAGCAAATTCAAAACTATAACGTACTAACCCTACCCTCTCCTGCCCTTAATGTACTAAATGACTTCTATTCACTGCATGGGGAACAGGATAATGACTCACAGTGCAATTTGCAGCAGAAATACAACCAGCTCTTCTGTGGCCTCCCTACTCTGCACAGTGAGTCCCTGATTGCTACTTTCTTGGACTCTAAAAGTCTCTCCAGGAACAAGAATGTGCCCAAGTCTCCCTTGAATGGTCCTCTTCTCTTCAGTGAGCTCCATCCCCTGCTGTCCAATACTCCACCTGAGTCAGCCCCAGCCTCACCCCTAGCCTCACTACCAGCCTCACCCCCAGCCTCACCCCCAACCTCCCCAAATTGGATGTCTCCCTCTGAGAATCAGGTCAGTGTCCCATTTCTGACTACAGCTGAGTGTGAAGCCTTGGAATGGCACTTGCTGCAGAGGCAACTCCAGCTTCAGTGGGGCCTGCCAGCAGTCTTCCAGAGATCTCAGCATGCTCCAGGTCCCAAGCAGTATGAAACATGTGACAAAATCCAACCTCCTGAGACCATGAAGACCTCCTGTCCAGGAAAGTCCTTCTCAGTCCTCACCAGGGAACTGCTCTTCTTCCCAGAGCATGCCCGCAGGCTGCTGGAATTCCATCTCCAGAAGCAGTTGATTCACCATCGCTGGGGCCTGCCCCCAAAGATTCAGCAGTCCATCCAGTTGCTCCTTTCCTCCACTGACCAGCAGACCCTGACCTGGAGCAGTACAGCCCTACCCAGGGTGAGCATGCCCCCGCTTGCAACCCTAGATGACAGTGAAGCTGGTGTCCTATTCTCACCCATGGTAGCCCAAATGCCCACCCCCATGCCACACTTGTTTGCCCAAGCCAAGGAAATATTGCAGAGCCACATCGGCTCCAAATGTGGACAGATCCACCAGGGCCAGGTCCCTGCCTGTGTATTCAGCTCCTGGGAATGCAGAATTCCTGGAGGTCTGGCAGTGGCTCCCTTCCCTTGCATTCCACAAAGCCAGCACCCGGAACTGCAGGCAGCAAGTGAACCTGACCCACAGCCCAAAGTTATGCCCTGGATGCCAGTGGCCCTTGATCAGCAGCAGCAGCAGGCCTTACCAAGTGCTGACACTGAACACCCTAAGCTGCCCAGAGTCCTGTCTGATACAGCCATTGAGAAACTGGAAACCATGCTGCGGCACAAGTATCTGGTCTTCCTGTCAGGCCTGCCTGCTCTGTACTGTGTGGACCTCTCTAGGGCCATGGTTCCAGCAAAATCTAGCGAATCTGTAATCACAGAGATGGTGTCTGGGCCTGTGGAAATCCCAGAGGAGCCTCCGACTCCTCCACTGACTCAGATGATCTCATCTGAAGACCCCTGCAGGAGGCTTGAACCATGCTTTCAAGATGACGATGAGACTTAGGCAGACAACACAGAGGAGTTCCAGCCTGAAGTTCAGGTGGAAGAAATGACAGAGATGGTAACTCCAAGGAGCCAGACTCTTCCTACTATCCCCTTCTCATCCAAGACACACATCTTCCCCAAACTAAATTTCCACCTTAGGAAAAAGGTCATAGAGATGCAATTGGGAATTCCCATAAGGGCAAGAGAGTCCAGGGAACCAACTGCAGGAGTTGCAGACAACAAATCCACACAGGAGTCTCTTGGGAGTCTAAGCACCCCAGAAAGCACAGTAGTCCAGGAACTGTCCATCACACCAGAGTCTCCTCCTGCCCCAGACTCAGAATGGATCCCCCTTAAAAAACAGCTGGCCACTGAGTTGAAGGCAGTACAGCACAACCTAAAGTCACTTAGTTCCAAACCAGTGCCCCATGGATCACCCGACTGGGCTTCCAAGATCTCACAACTCAGTGCGAACATGACCCAGGCCCAGATACTTTGCGTTCAGGTAGAGGCCAGTGTGAACAACCCCATCCTGGAGGAACCCTGGAGCCCTGAGCTCCAAAGTCCTGACAAGATCAAGGACTCAGCCCAAGTCCTGGCACTGGCAGAAAACAAAGAGGACCCAGGAAAACCCAAGGCAGCAGGGGACCTTGGAGAAGGGGATGCAGGGCTTGGGATCTCCTCAGTCAGTGAAGAAAGACACCCTGCTGAAGATCAGAGGCCAGAAAGGATGAACAGGACATCCCAAGGCTCCTGGCCATGGAACCAGAGCTTTCTTCTTGAGGATCCCTGTCCACCTAGCCACCAGCATCACCCTCAGCTGCAGTCCCCAGAGCCGCCCCCAGTAGTCCCTGGAGGGAAAGAATCTGAGCCTGACAGGCAAGACAGTCCAAGCAAGCCACATGTCATCCCTGAGCCCACAAGGAACCCTAAGAATGCCCAGCCCGTGGTGCCTCGCATTTCCCAGGACAAGTCTTTCCTCCCCCAGAAAATTCAGGGTAAACCTCTGCAGGGCCAAACTCTGCACAGTCAGGTCTTGCAGGGGAAGGCAATGCCAGCCCATTCTCACAAGAAGCCCATCGTTCCAGACACTGGCTTGAGAAATAAAATACAATCCTTTCTGCACTGCATTACCCCTGAGAAGAAAGGCAAAGGGCATGTAGAGTCCATGTTCTCCAAAGCTGGGAAAGTGTCCAAAACCAGAAAAGAAAATGTTGAAAAGAGCCTCATTCCAGCCAAAAGCCCCATGGGGAGAACTAAGACAGAGAAGCCAAGTGGGCACCCCAAGGCCCGTTCAGCCTCCCCTAAGAAGCCAGCAGGCCTGACCTTCTTAGATACCAAGGCCCGTTCAGCCTCCCCTGAGAAGCCAGTAGGCCCAGCTGCCTTAAATGGTCCCCATTCCCCAGACAGTAAGCTCCGGCTACGCTCCCGACAGCATGGCTCTGCCTCAACCCTGGGCCATCCCCGCCACTGCCCTCGGCACTGTCCTCGAGTGGCTTGTGCCTCCCATCCAGGGAGCCTCCCCTAGCTCCCAGCCCTCAGCTCTGAAACATCGTCCTGCTCCAGAGAACTCCCAAAGCAATGAGGAAGTGTTTCGAGGCTCCCCAACCTGGGCATTCCTTGAAGAGCGCTATTTTCATTTCCATTGATGAACAGGTGTAGCAGAGCACCACCTGAAATACACTCTATATCTCTAAGCGGAGTTGTCTGTCTCTTTGTCTCCATTATACTTTGTTAAAAGGTGGCATGAAGAGGGCTAGAAAGTCCTTCCTATGTAGGAAAGGAGTTTTCAGCCACATTTCAGAAGGGACACTATTGCACTGCTCCCTATCAGGGACTTGAGTAAGGCATATTGAAGGTAAACGTTGGGCTATTCCAGTAATTTACCATCCACATTTACCTCACTATTTTAGATCAAGGATAGTGGAAAGAATAATTCTGAATTGTCCTAAATTTAATTACAAAGTCCAGAGGGTGGGGTATGAAGAAGATAGGAGATTAATCAGTTACTAGCTGCAGATGGAATCAACAAAAGGACCATTAGTGTTGACTTAAAATCCCATCGCCACCATGTTCTGTTTACATATAAACTTTCTGAACTTCATCCCCAACCTATCCAGACAATACTTCTTATACATTTTCCTCCTATCCCAAAACATTGCCTAATTCCCATTATTGTGCCCTTATTATCCATAGCAAATGTAGGTTACGGTGCTTTCTTTTCCCACAGTTTATTAAAAATACATTTGGTTTGAGGCTGGGAATGTGGCTCAAGCGGTAGTGCGCTCGCCTGGCAAGCGCAGGGCGCTGGGTTCAATCCTCAGCACCACAAAAAAATAAAATAAAGATGTTGTGTCCACCGAAAACTAAAAAATAAATATTAAAAAATTTTCTCTTTCTCTCTCTCTCCTTCTCTCTCCCTCTCTCTTTAAAAAAAAAATATATATATATATATATATTTGGCTCCAGTTTAGTGGACATTTTCCAACCTAGTTCTGCTGCTGGAATTTGTGAAAACTTGTCCCAGGAACTCATTCTTTATTTTTCTGGCTAGTATCTGTAATGGCTTGATAAGCCCTTTTATTTCAGAGATCTCTTGGTCTCTCTAGTGTTTTGGTTTAACTGTGTCTAGTGCATAATGATACTTATATTAGTTTCATCCAAGATCTAGACAAAGCACTACATCATGTGATGAATTCTATGAATTATGAAGCCCTGACGCAGGAGGAAGTACTCAGTTGATGAGAAGGAACTGTCACAATAAAATGACCTTAAGAAGTATCTTGTATTCAAAAATTAAATATTTAAGTACTTATTAAATGTCAGGTACTACTACAAACACAACGTTGGAAAAGACACAGCCCTGCCATGTGGAGCTCCTGATCTCATATCATGTGATAGACACATGACCAAATTGTTTACTCAGTATATACACTTGGAAACCAAATATTCATCTCAAACTATACAAAAATGAATTCCTGAAATCTGCTCCACACCCACCCACTCACACACATCAAACCCCTCTGATCATATTTCCCACATCAGTTAATGGCAGTTCCATATTTCCAGTTGTCCAGATCATGTACAGTGGAATGTAACATCCATAACTTTTCCCCTTAACAGTCCACATCCAACCCATCAATAAATCCTTGTTGTCCCTACCTTCAAAAATGTATCCAGACTATGACTTACCACATCCTCTAGTGTATCAAAACTGAAGCAGCAGCATCCTGAGACCATACCCTAAACAGTCTATCCTCAACACAGAAACATGATGTCCCCAAAGAGAATCCTGTATTCATGAGAGAAAGAGATATAACCATAATACGAGGTTAGATCACCAAGGCAGTGAATGTAAATGAAGGAGAGATCTAAGGACTGGGTCGTGGGATACTTTTATTTTAAGTTGGAAAACATAGGAAGAACCAGTAAGAAGAAACTGAAAAGCAATAGCCCTTGAGGTAGCAGAAAAACCAAGAGTGTGGTACACTGGAAGCCAAAAGATGACATCTTTCAAAGACAAAGTGATTGACTGCACGGAAAGCCAAAGAAGACGGGGACCATCAGATCTAGCCACAAAGAGATTATGACTTTTGAAGAATAGCCTCATGTACACGATGCAGATGAAGACATGGCTGGAGGGGACTCAAGACAGAATGGAATGAGAGCAACTGGTGACAGCAAACTTAATTCTTTCAAGAGGTTTGGTCAAAATAAGATGCATAAATATGAGGCAATAGCACCAAAAAGATATGCTCCAAAAGTTTGCACAAATTAATAATGAATGTTTATGGAAAAGATGCAATTAAGGGGGATAAATTAATGATGTAGGAGAACAAGGGAAGAGCTGCTGAAACCATGAATGAGTGGGAGAAATGAAGGAATGGGAGCAAGTCCCCAGGGTGAGGGGCCAGCTTTGGCTAAAGTACAGACACTTTGCTTATGTAAACACAAAGAACATAGTATTAATGAGAGAGCAGTTAGTGGATCAGAAGAATAAAGATTTCTTCCACAATTAATTAGAGCATAGACAAAGACCTAGAGGGGTGAATAAGAATCTAGGAAAGGACCACAAGGGTGAGAGCTATACAGAGAGTCAAAGCCAAGAAAATGGAGGTAGAGAGGGATTCTGGAAGTTACCACAGAAAACTTCAATTGGGGTTTAAGTTATTGGTCCCAGTATGAGAGCCCAAGCGGACACCAAAAAGTGGTTGAAGTTTCAGATTATGTGTGTGAAGCAGGTGCTCTTGCAACACTGGAGGAACAGGAAAGACCCCAGAGAAAACACCAAATGCATCAAACCTGCACAACAGCAAGGGGCTAATAAAAAATGAAAAGGGGCATGTGGCATCCTAGTGCTCAGCAAGGGACCAGAGAGGATTGGGTGTGAGAGGAGAAAGCTGGGAAGCAGGAAGACAATAAGCTGCCCTGAGTAGATAAGATAGACCTGTATTAGCCACTTAATGTCCCTCAGAAGGTGGCACCTCTGCATTCTCCTTCCACCTACCACAGAGATGTCAAGAGCTTGAGAAAGAAAAGAAAATGCTGGACTTTCTTATCATGTGGTTTGAGGGATAGGGGATGCCCCTCATTCCTAAGGAAATCCAGAATCATTCAGCATCCTGTCAAACCAGGAGGAAGTTGTGGCAGGACTTGCTTCCTTTAATAGACCACACAGATTAGCACAATGTGTCCACTGTGACAGGATGCAGCACCCCAGATGGGAAGAAGCATGAATGAGTCCCTCCTCTGAATGGTGACTCTGTGCCTAAAAGGATGGAGGCCCAGACCCTAACTGGCCCCCAGGGAAGGAGGCACAAGGCCCAGGCCTGCTGAGCCAATACTCTGCAGGTGTTTTCCTGAAGCATCCCCAGAGATCAAAGAAGGCCTTGGGACAGGCACATCCTCCCTGCCTGGTGGGAGTACAGAGGGACACAGAGATAGGACACTAAGGGAGGCCCAGAATGAATGGAATTCACTCAGAAGGGTCACAGTGGCATCAGGTGGGAAGCTGGGTTAGTGTGCACACATCCTGGCTTAGGGTGGAGAAGGCCCTTCCCAGGGCCCCCCACAGGCTCCTACCTGCCTTATGCCCATGTTGCTGAACAAAGCCCCATAACAAAGAGCTGAAGGAAGAATTGAGCTTCAACTGAGATCCCTGGATCCTGAGTTCTCAACAAAGCCAAGATCTGAGAGAATAGGAGCAGTCTGAGATCCACACAGTATGCTGATGGAGGATGAAGCCTGCTATCTCATAACCCTAGCACAACACCACCCTTTACCTCTCCCTCAACTCAAGAGAGGAGAAATCAGAAGATGCATACATATAAGAATTTGCTACTCCAGATTTAGGGGTAGATGCTAGGAATGCATCAGTGCTTGGGAACTTTGGGGTTCACCTCTACCACATTGTGATATGGTGAATGGCCTGACCTTCTAGAACCCTTTCCTTAGGCCCTCCAGAAGTCATTTCAGAACTGTCTAGAAGGAATCTCGGGCAAGGGGCCACCAACAGAGGGAGGACAGTGGCCTCTCCACAATATCATTTCTGTTCAAGGCTGGGTCAAAACCAACAGGGAGTGTTAAAAAGGCTGCTTGGCTTTTTTGCCAGTCACTGAAGCCCAGGCAGGAAGGGCAAGAACACAGGATGAGCACAAGAATAAACCCCCTGGAGATGCTGCTTCCTGCACCATGGGGAGTTGTTTGGACCTCTGCTTCTCTATCAGCCAACCAAAACTTAATACTTTGCCTGGACTCTGGAACCCATGGCTTAGGCCAGTCCTGTTATAGAAGGAAGGACAAGAATGGTTCCTGTGTCCACTGCAAGAAGAGGAGAGAAGGGGGGACAACCTTGAGTTCAATGAGGACATGAGAAATAAGCATAACACAGGCACGTAGGGTGCTGGGGACACAAAGTGCCAGATCCTCACCAGGTCTAACTGGGTTTGCAGAGGACTGTGCATTCCCAAACCCACAGACAAAGAGGCCAGGACCCTGAATACTTGGTTGGGATAAAAGCATGGGGAGAAGGACTGGCCAGAGAAAGATGCTGTTTTCAGAAGGATGGGTGGGTGCTGCCAACAGGCCCCCTTCCCTTCCACATGCCCCTCCTTCACTGTAACTTCTCTGGATCCAGGACCAGGCAAGGAGCACATTGGGGGATTTCCAGAGTGTATCACTTCCAAGGTCAGGCCCCCTACAGAGGCCACAGGGGCAGGGCCCCGGGCAGGCAGCCTGACCATGGGAATCCAGACAGCGGGAAGGGAAGCCATTGCTTGCGGTAAATAGTTCTGGCAGCTGGGGTGTGTCAGGCAAAGGGGGGGCTGGAGAGGGGCAGACAGAGAAGTGAGAAGACAGAGGAGATCATACACACACAGAGACGGAGAGACAAAGACAGACACTCAGCCACACAGGTACATACGAGAAAAGACGCAAGGTCACCCTGGCCACTCAGAAAAATTTTCAGAGCACACACAAACACGTGTAGGAAACATACCTACATTAACCCATGAACACCCTGAGTCAGAC